TCTTTCAGGGTCCAACATAAATTGGTTTATCCATCCATGAACCCTCCAGAGGCCTCACACAGAGGCAGGACAGACACAGCTCTGGGTGTCACCTCCTGCACGGGGAAGGAACTTCCAAAGCTGAATGCCACAATGTGCCAGGTAAGAACAAGTTGAGAGGAAGGAGGGAAAATTAAAGAAACACACTAAAAAAAAACAAAAAAAAAAAAACCAAAAAAAACCTACAAAAAACCCACAACCAAACAAAAAACCAAAACCACCCAGCTAAAAGCAACTAAAAGGGTATTTTCTCATTAGCAGCTGAGTTATCCTCTTTGGCACACAGGAGGTTGGGGGGGTTGTTAATTAAAGTGAAGTAAGGCAAATTATGACAGGCTGTGCTGAAAACCAGTCAGTGGGAGAGGTGGCCCTGGGAATCCTGCTGGGAATGCTGAAGAGGAGACCCCAGGGAGGAGCAGCACAGGGATACCCCATGGGAGAGGGAACAGGGAAAACCCTGGGAAAGAGCTGGGAAGGGGGAAAGGTGTCACAAGGATGCCCACAGACAGGGAAGGTGCAGAAGAGACCCCAAAATCGGGCAGGATGCAGGGGTGTGTTATCAACAGGGATGCCCCATCGAGAGTGCAGGAGGGACCCATTTAGGGTCAGGGTGCCGGAGGGGTGGTGAGTGCCCCATCCATGGGGGAGGGTGCAGGAAAGCCCCCAGGAAGGAGAAGCGTGCCCTGAGCTGCTGGAGAGCGAGGGGGACACAGTGACAAACCCCCGCCCTCCTCACATTTATGTCACCCCAAGGGGGCTCAAGCACCTCACGCCGGAGGGGCGGGAAAAAATATAAATACACAAAAGCGCAGAGAGGCTCTGTCGGGCCACAGAGGGAGAAGCGGAACAGAAAAACGGCGGATAAAAGTTAAGCGAGGCTGGGAGCTCGGGCCCGGCCGGCCCTTTCCTCACAGCCAGGGGAGGGGATGGAGGGGATGGAGGGGATGGAGGGGATGGAGGGGATGGAGGGGATGGAGGGGAGGGGACCCCGGGCCCAGCCGCGGGTGTGCGGCCACACACCACACACACACACACACTGCTGCTGCTGCCCCGTTACCTGTGAGGCGGATCTTGATGCTGGATCCGTTCCGGCGGGTACCGGGATTCGACATCGCGCCTGGAGCAGGAGGAGGAGGAGGAGGAGGAGGAGAAGGAGGAGGCGGCGGCGCCGAGCTCAACCGGCGGCCCCGCGCAGCCCCGCCATGCGAGCCCGCCTGCTTCTCACGATGCCGGGAATGCCCGGATTCGTGTTCCGGTGGCCGCTGCAGGCTCGGCGCCCTCAGCCGCCGCCTCAGCCGCGGCCGCCTCAGCCTCAGCCTCCGCCGCGCCCGCCCGGCCCGGCCGCGGACCGCCGTGGCCACGCCCCCGCCACGCCCCCGCGCACGGCGGAGGCGGTGACGTCAGCGCGCACGGCGGCGTGGCCGCGGCCGGACGCCATGAGGAGAAGGTCGCGGCGGGAAGGTCGGGGGGTGGCGCATGCGCAGAAAGGGTCCGGGGAGCGCCCCCTGGCGAGGGGAGAGCGTGAGGGACGGGAATGGCGGAATGGGGAAAAGGAACGGGATGGGGAATGGAGGGGGAATTGGGGGATAGGGATGGGGAAATGGGGGAATAGAGGGAGAATAGGGGGAATGGGGGAATTAGGGATAGGTGGGGAAATGCAGGAATAGAGGGGGAGTGGGGGAAGAGGAATGGGATGGGGAATAGAGGGGGAATTAGGGATATGTGGGGTAATGGGGGAATAGAGGGGGAATGGGGGAAAAGGAATGGGATGGGGGAATAGAGGGGGAATTAGGGATAGGTGGGAAATGGGGGAATAGAGGGGGAATTAGGGAAAAGGAATGGGATGGGGGAATAGAGGGGGAATTAGGGATAGGTGGGGAAATGCAGGAATAGAGGGGGAATTAGGGATAGGTGGGGAAATGGAGGAATAGAGGGGGAATTAGGGATAGGTGGGGAAATGCAGGAATAGAGGGGGAATTAGGGAAAAGGAATGGGATGGGGGAATAGAGGGGGGATTAGGGATAGGTGGGGAAATGCAGGAATAGAGGGGGAATGGGGGAAAAGGAATGGGATGGGGAATAGAGGGGGAATTAGGGATAGGTGGGGAAATGGGGGAATAGAGGGGAAGTTCAGGAATAGGGATGGGAAAATGGGGGAATAGAGGGAGAATAGGGGGAATGGGGGAAAAGGAATGGAATGGGGAACTGGGGAAATAGGGGGGCAATTCGGGAATAGGGATGGGGTGAGGGAATGGGGGAATAGAGGGGGAATTCGGGAATAGGGATGGAGTGGGGGAATGGGGGAATAGAGGGAGAACAGGGGAATAGAGGTAAAGGAATGGGATAGGGGAATGGGGGAATAGAGGGGAAATAAGGGAAAAGGAGTGGGAGAATAGAGGAGAATAATGGGGGAATTGAGCAGAATAAGAGCAGGATGTGGGAAAAAAGGGGGATGAGGGATACCTCAGGAACGGCATAGGGGCAAATAGAGGTGGAATGGGAGGAATTGGGGTGTCTAGGGCTGTCTTGGGATGAAAAGGAACAAATAGGGTCCCTTTAGGGTCCTGGTGGTGAATAGGTGATCTCAGGGGTGGAACAGAGGTGACATGCAGGGCAGCAAGAAGGTGACAGGGGGCCTGGGGGTGAACAGGGGCTCTCACAGTGGCATGGAGGATGTATGGGGGACACAGAGGGAGCACAGGGGTGCCTGCAGGTAGCATAGGAATGTAAAAGGGTCTTAATTTGGGGTAAACACCACTACAGGCAGGGGCAGTGCCTGTTCCATCTCCAGAAATGGGGCAGCACCTTCTCACTGTCTACAACTCCCTGATGGGAGGGTGCCAGGTGGGGAATGGACTCTTCTCCCAAGTGCCAACACAAAGGAAAAAGGCCCAGGTTGTGCCAGGGTTAGAGGTTAGAAAAGATTTATTGACTGCCCAAGCACTGACAGGTGCCCAGGGCAGCAGTGCAGTCCCCACTCCTGAGAAGGTTCCCAGGAGCAGAGGTGGCACTAAAGGGGTAGAAGCTGACAGAAGTCAGTGGGCAATTGTAGAGATCTTTCCCAGCCTCAATGATCCTCCACCTGCTCCTCTGGGGAAGGTTTTAATTAGAAAAACTACTTTTTTGTGCATGACAGGAGGGAGGTTGAGCTGCACTGAGGAAGCACAGCAGCATCTCCTGTTCACTGTGCCCCTGGCTCGCCTATCCCATCCCCTGGGAGGAGGGGATGCCTGCACTGCCCCCGAGCTGGAATTGCCCCCGAGCTGCTGCCTGGGGCTGGCAGGGGAGGGCAGCTCCCCCGGGCCAGGCAAGCAGCTGCCTGCAGGTCGCTCACACACCCACACAGAGCCCTGGTGATCCCCAGGCACTGGGCCCCCCTCTCCAGCTGCCAGGGGAGACAGCAGGCACATCCCAACACTCTTTTTAGGAGGGGCATGTTGTCCTGGCCCCTGCCTTCTAAGTTACAGACACAAGGATGGAAAGGAACAGCTCTGGGCCCCTGGCTCTGTGTAACACCACCCACCACAGATTTATGTCCAGCACATGCAGGAAAAAGAAACCAAGATATTTCCTATTTCTCACTTAATCAGATCATCAGCAAACAGCAGCCCTGCCTGGCCACGGGAAAAGCCAGCAGGGCTGGTCCACAGAGGACCAAAATCCAAAGTCAGGGCAGGCACACAGGCCCCAGCTCTGTGTCTCTGAGGAAAGAGCCTCCTCACATTCCTGTACCCAGGAGCTGTGGCCATTCCCAGGTGCCCAGCAGCAGTGGGAAGCCCACAGAGCCCAGGCAGCAGCAGCCCTGGCTCAGGTGCATGTTTAGGCAGTGCTGTATCACGTTTTTAAGTCCATAGTTCTGGATGTAAGAAGCACTTTGTATTTGATCAGATCCCAGTATTTGAATATTAAATAAGTGATACTCAGCCCTGCTGCCCATAAGTGGGGCTGCCCAGCTCCTCCCAGAGAGCACATTTACTACCAACTCCCTTTTCCCTGGGTGGCCTGCAGGAGAAATGCATAAATCCTCTGACAAACAGATCCAGGGAAGAGGAAGAGCCTCTGTTTCCTGAAGAGATTTTCCCTCCAGATTAAGCTGTCACATCACCTCCCACTGCACCTGAGGCAGCAGAGCCCTGAGCCCACCCAGGGACACGGGACACTTTGAAGAGCCAAACCCCCAAAGCAAGGAGGGAAAGCTGCTCCCTCATCCTGCCTTAAGCAAAACCTTCGAGCTGCTTCAAGCTCTGGGAAGCAAAGGATTGGGGAAGGGTCTGCTGGGAACCACCAACACTGCAAGGATGGAGCAGTGGCCAGCAGCTCTTTGAGAACCCACAGCACAAAACCTTTGTGCCATAGGCTCAACTCCATCCTCACCTTCTGCTGGAGACCACACTTGGAGGGCTTGGAGAGAAGAACAAGAGGCAGGGACACACCATGGAAACCTGAAATACAGGTCCTTGGAATTAAAGGGCAGAGCCAGATCGATGGGCTGCAGGCTGAGGGATGGCAACAGGGAAGCTGCAGCAGGGGTGAATCATTGCCCCTGCACTGCCTCCAACAACTTTCCTTCCAAAGGAGCAGCATCTACTCAGCAGCTCCCACATCCAACTCCTCCAGGTGAAGTAACACACAGCAAGGCCACTGACCCACCTGGGCCTGGCTCAGCTCCTCTCCCACAGCAACGATGGTGCCTGCAGAAGGGTGAAACATCTCTCAAACAGGTTTTTTAGAGCTACTTCAGCCACTCCAAATCAAGCCTAGAAGTTTCAGCACAAAGATTTGGTGGCAGCATGCTGCTCTCCTGCAGTTTAGTGTACTCAGAAGAAAGATTCCACCCAGAAAACTTGCCCAGGGGCTCCAAAATACTCCTGCAAGACCTTGAGATGTTACTAGAAAAAAAACCAAGCCATGTCATTTGCAACAGCAGCTTAAAGAAGGAGGGAAATAATTAAAGGCAAAAGGAACAAAGCCAAAAGTGCATTTTATTGACAAGTTTCAGAAGTAAAAAGGCTCAACATCTCTGCTCCTGATGATTTGGATGTCTGAGCTCTTCCAAAGTGCCTCCACCCACCAGTTTAGAGCTGTGTCATGCTTCATCTTCAGAAGTCGAAGTCATGTTTCTCCACTGAGAAATTGTACAGCCCATCTTGGCCAGTCTGGGGCTCCAGGTTTATACTCTCCTAGGAGGAAAATGACAGAAATTACTTATAGTGTCTGCATTTGAATAAACCTAAGCTTTTTACAGCAACTCTGTTTTATTCTTGCTTTAGAAATCCTGTTAATCTCAGCTTGACTGTAACAGAACTCCTGCTCCTTGCAGCACCCTGAAGCTGCAGTGTCCCTGCAGCCCACACAAAAGCAGCCAAACCTTTGGGCTCAGACACCAGAAGCAAAAGGAAATAAGTGGCTGCAGTGGTAGAGCTCACCGAAATTAAATGGTCTGCTTGGAACAGCAACAAGCCAGGACTGCTCAGGGGGATGTTCCCCTGGCATCCAGCCCCTCCAGCAGGAGCTGGTGTGGAGAATTTCCTCCACACCCTCTCACAGGGACACCCCACAGACCCTGCTCTGGTGGCAAAGGACTAAACCAGACCTTTGCCCCCTGCTGCAGCTCACACCCAAAGTGACCCACAGTTCCAAGGTCTGCCAGACCTCTGAGCCTCCTCCCTGATGATTTCCCATCTGCAAGTCTAAGGCTAGGACCAAACATGGCTTCTGTGACAGTCACTGGACCCTTGCAGCTCCTAGCTGGTGTCTTATCTTCTTTTTCCATAGATTCTTTACCATGAGAAGGGTCAAGTAATCCAAATGCAACCTGAGCACTGTTATCAGCTGAGTAGGAGGCTGCCATTCATAGTGACAAGGCAGCTCAGCTCTGAAGGAGGAAACTTCTCCACATTTGGTATTCATATCAGTAACTGCAGTAACTCCAGCTGATGCCAGTTTAAATTCCAGCAGCAAGATGCTATCAAGGCATCCATGTCTGCTGTCCAACTCATTGGCTGACAACTCAGAGCTTTTACAGACCTTTAAAAACACCTGAAAGAAGCTGCAAGGACTACTCTGGTCATGTGGAAGTCTCCTCTAAAAAAACCTCTTCCAGTATCCTTAAACTCAGTGCTTCATTCCAGTGTGTAATAACTTCACATTTTCAGCTGAGAAACAGCAAGGGCTCACATACCTCACCAGAAAAGTATTTCTCTATAATGTCCAGGGCAGCTCTGTAGACCATGGAATTCTCATGGTTTTGCAAGTCTTCAATTTTCTCCAGACCATCAAGTTCTTCCACCAGCAGACACAACTTCTCTGTCTCTCCCAACTTCTCAGCTGTCTGTAACATTGGAAAGCCAGGCAGGAAACCAGAACATCAGTAACAGGCCTGAGACGCTTTTTCTGTAATTACAACCCTGATCTACAATTCAAAAGCTCACAGTTCCTGAATTTATGGTCCCTTCCTGATGCCAGGCATGTGACTGTGGTGCCTGTGGAATACCAGTCTCTGCTGGGGGCTGCCAGCCAAACCAGTGAGCAGAGGATGAAGAGCAGCACCAGGAACTCAATCTTGCCATGCCCTTTAGACAACCTAAAGGTACTCAAGGCAAAGTCCCTCTTACTCCAAAAATCAACAGTCATTGTTCTCACCACACAATGTGAGCATTCGGCTCACTCCTTGCTGCTCTTTGGGAGAAAGAAGTCAAAAGATGAGACCTTATCGGGAAGGGATTAAAAAACAGCATCCAGGATGAACAGATCTCACCAGGAAGAGATTTGAAAGGGTGTCCAGGATGATCAGGATGGTTTTGCTGTCTTTGACCAAAAGCAGGTTGAGCAGAGGCTTGAGGACCCCGGAACGGACGAGCTCCACCACCTGATCCACCGTTGCTCCAGTTGTGAAGTTGGCCACTACCCACACAGCCTCCTTCTGAGCCTTGAAATCACCCTGGAAAAGCAGCACAGCAAAGGCATTCCCAAGCTTTAGTATGCTCTAGGATGGGCATGAAGCAAGGATGACCATTTTCCTTATCTGCAGCTTTCCCAGCCCCTTTGGGTGATGCATGGACACCTGGCAGAGGGGCCAAGGGCAGCTCCAGAATGTGTTTCCATGCGGGTGGACTGACAAATTGGGATGCTCAGGCTGTGCCAAGGTTCTCAACACCTCTGAAACAGCCTGCTCAGGTGGCTCTGGGGCCAAGGGCTTCACAAATGAGCCATCCCAGGCCTCCTGAACCTCACATTGCTCCCTCAGCAGCCCTGTGCCCATCCCTTACCTTGTCAAGCAGTTCCACCAAAGGTGGCAATAGCCCACAGTTGATGATCTGTTGGATCTGGTGGGAAGGCCCTGCTGCAATGTTGCTGAGGGTCCATGCTGCTTCCTTCTGGATCACTGGCTTGGTGTGCCTCAGCAGCCGGGGCAGGACAGTCAGGGCACCAGCACTGATGGCTTCCTGGGTCTGCTGGTCTGTGCCTGTGACCACATTCCCAATGGCACGGAGAGCTGGAGTCTAGACAGAGATTAGAGATGAGGAGAGTCCTTACCTCAAGGGATACATGTCAGAAAGCCCAGCAAGATCCCTCCCTAAGTGCTTGATCCTTCACACAAGGAGAGCATTGTGGGTGATGGCTGCTTATTTACAGCCCTGTCATCCCTCATTTGCTCTAAGCAGCTTTAGAGTCTCTATCCAGCCTCCAGAACAGAGCAGGGGTTTGACAAGCAGGCAGTCAGTTCCATGGGCTGAGGGGACAGCACACCTCAGCTGCCACATAGAACAAGGCCCTCCCCCCTCCTCAGGCCTTTCTACCTTAAGGGCCAGCAGGGTGGAGATTTGGTTGTTCCCTACCATAACAGTCAAATATGGGCTGTCCATGAGTTCCACGAGCCTTGGGAGAATCCCTGTCTCCACCACAATTTGGATGCGATCATTGCAGCCATCAGTCAGGTAGGAGACAGCCCAGCAGGAGTCAGAGATGACATCCTTGTCCTCATGCTGCAGGAGGATGACAAGGACTGGCAGAATCTTCTGCACAGCATCCAAGGGAGGGCAGGGGTTCTTGTTCCTGCACAGGTTTGACAGTGTCCAGGTGATGTTCCTCAGGAACCCAACCTGAAACACAAGGCAGGTATAAGATCCTCACTGCCCCCAAGAGCCTCCCAGTCTGTGTTATCCTGTGAAGGATCTTAGACAGAATAGTGGGGCAGGAACCATTGCAGAAGGGCAGAGACACACCACAGAGCAGCAGCAGGAAGCTTGAAGGGCAAGTTCAGCCCTTCCACATGCACATGCAAGTCTGCCTTGCACCAGTTCCATCTTATTCCTAGCCTGAGAGAGTCAGAGCTGGAAAAGAAAGCCAAAGCTGGAAGAGATCCCATTGACTTGGATTGTCTGCTTGGCACCCCCAGCTTTGTGCATAGGCAGGGCCATAAAAGCAGTTTAGAGTGGGGTCTCATTCATTTATACAGTTTGTTGTGTACAAGGCAGACAGTGGACTCACCCACCACCCAGTGCATTAAGAGCTGTTAAATCAAGAAAATGGAGGTTATTTACTGGAGTTGCAGGTGACACCAGAGCCAACAAGGGAGGAATCACATCATGAGCAATAAGAGCATCCCTGTAGATAGGGCCATCCCCTGGGCAGATAAAAAAGGTTGGTCACTGCATCTGCCCAGGTCACGAGACAGTCAACATCAAACAGCAATCAGACCCACAGGGCCAGGGCTGGGTGACCCACCAGCCACACACCACTAGGCATTTCCAGGTGGGAAGGATTTACTGGGCAGACTGGAGTGCCAGCAGGCCAACCAGGCATGACCCATAATGTTCTCCCTATGGTGACATTAGTGGGTTCAACCACCCCAGCAGGACAGCCTTGCCCTTGGCTTTGGCCAAAATCCTCTTGCACAGCCAACACAGGATCTTAAAGGCTGCCAGACAACACTAAGGGGATGAAGAGTTGTAGGGTTCAATAGGGGCAGCAGCTTGGAGACCAATGCTTTATCTCCCCAGCAGAATCACAGAATATTCCACACTGGAAGGGGTCCACAAGGACCATCAAGTCCCTGGCTCAGTCAGGGACCTCCAAATGCCCCTCCAGGTCCTCTCACCTGCGATGTTGCCCAGGGCCCACACTGACTGCTCGCTGATGTGCATGTGTGGGGAGGACAGCAGGGAGATGAAGGCTGGGATGGCCCCTCCCTCCACCACAGCCCTGGTGTGCTCCGAGGTGCCAGAGGCAATGTTGGTCAGTGCCCAGGCTGCCTCAAACTGTAGGGCAGCATTGTCAGCATGGCCCAGGAATTCCACCATCCTGGGGATGATCCCCAGCTCGATGATCTGATTGATGGGGGGGTCCTTGTGCCTGGACAGAAGTCTCCTGTGAGAGAGGACACAGCACAGCCAGCCATGAGGAACCCTGCATGGTGCCACCACAGCCCATAGCCCTGTGGCCAGGCACAACCCTCAGCAGAGGGGCTGCTATACAGAGGGAAGACACAGCTAAAGATGCTGAAGCAGGAGCAGGGCGTCTGTTGGAAGTAAAGCCCTGACATCCTCACAGCCATACTCGCTGGGCATGGTGCTCAATAGTTTCAGCCAGCCAAGGAAGCACCAGCAGGGATGCAGCCTGTCCTGGACCCTCAGGAGACACCCGTGCTGCCAGCTAGGTGATGATAGCACCCTGTGGTCCTTTCTGCTCTGACCCTTGTGGGGACAGCCCTGCTCAGCACCGATCCTTTACAGGGTCAGGCTCTCCAGTTCTTGTCCTGCCCAAGCATCTGGCACTCAATTTCTTGTGGGATCCAACATAATTCCTGGCACAGCACAGGAAGGGGCAGCACAGCCAACCCCTTGGTTGGGTCTGGGCAGGACTGTGAGCCAAGCATGGCACAGAGGCCACAGAAAAGGCACCAGCTGAGATTCCCATGGCCAGTTTGGGTTACCAGGCTCCTTCTCCCTTTGCCATATCCCTAGGGAGATCCCCAAACAGGAACTTGCAGCCTTTTGCCCCCAGGTCCCAGCACAGCTCCAGCAGCTGGGCACATACCTGGTGGCCTGGGTGGCAAGCAGCTGCAGCTGGATGTCTTCCCCATTCACAGCTTCCACGATCTCCTCCAAGGATGGCTGAATAATCTGTGTCACAGGGGATGATTCAGAGTCAGCCGGGGAGCTGGGACTCCCTCTGGTTTCATCTCAACAGTCAATCAGCTGTCTAGACCCAGCTCAGTCACCACTTCATATCTAAGCAGCGTCTATTCTTTATGCAACACAGTTTCGAGATGAGGCAGAGGAAGACAATCCACAAAAGCCTTCAAGGCAACTAATGCTTGTAATCAAGCAGTGAAAGAGTCACTGACACCATAATGGGCCTGTGAGCTCAGTAATTACCCCTGGCTGTGCAGGGAGCCAGACAGGAGCAGCTCCCATCGAGCCAGAGCACCAGCCTGTTCTACCTGCCATCAAGGGAGGCCAGCAGGACATCATCACCATGAAAAACTGCACAGACGAAGGCCAGGCAGTCTGAAACACTCCCCAGCACTGGGCATGGAGATTGGGAATGGCACCAGCTACTTAACCCAGGTCACCCCAGCTGGAATTGATAGTGGCCCAAGGAGGGGATGATTCCTGCTGCACTGAGCCTACCCAGGTGCAGGGCACCAAGCACTCACCACCTCAGCTGCTCTGTCTTGTTCTAGAGAGGGAGTCTCCTTCTCCAAATTAATGGAAATGTTTCTGCGCTTCAGGATCTGCTCATCCTTCTTGGCCTTTCTCAGCTCAACACTCACCTCCACCCGCTGCCTCCGCAGGGTCTGGGGGGAAGAAGAACAGCATCCCACTCACATCTGCATTGCCCCATTCCCCAGGGAGGTCACCCCTGCAGCCCTCTGCCCCACATTTCCCACAGGAGGAGTGCAGAGCCAGCATCTCCTCACCATGGCCTAGAGGGTGATGTAGGAATGGGACAGAGGCAGCCTCTCCCTCAGTGCCTCCCAAGGACACGGGCTGCTGGATGAACCAGCAGCCACTGCGTGTTTTTAGAAGTAGATTTTCTGAACCTGAAAGGCAAACCCTCATCACCTCTGCTGGCTTAAATCAAGCTGACAGATCCTACATCTGACATCCCATACCAGCCCCAACTCCACAGGGATAATGGCTGTGGAGAGCTCAGCAGCCTGGGGCTGAGCCATCTCCCTTCCCCAGCCACACACCCCAAACTCACATCCCCCTGTGCCACCATGCTCCCTACAGCCCAGCCAGCCCCACACCACATCCCAAAAGCCCCCCTAACATCCCAGCTGAAGGTATCCAGAGCCATTCCCCTGCTCCCTCACACAGGTAGATTTGGGGCCATGGACCTTGAGAAGCCCCTCCATCAGCTCCTGCCACCAGTGGCCTCTGCTGGGGTCCAAAATCCTGGCACAGGCAGGTGGGTACTCACAGTTTGATCCTTGCCCTTGTTCTTGAACAACTTCATGTGCCCATCGTGCTTCCTGACCGGCATCTTGGCAGAGTTGAGAGAGGTGCAGGAACCCTCACGTGCTCTTGGGGGTCAGCACACAGCAGGGTCAGGTCACAGGTGCCCAGAACCATCCCCTGCCAGCCACTGAAGGGGCTGGGACCCTCCACTCCCACCAGCAGCCTGGGCCACACATTTCCACCTCACACTCTGAGCAAGGGAGATCTCGCACCGGAGATCCCCTGCCCCAAGCAGGGCTTGGTAGGATCCTCACACACTGCAGCTGAGCCACTGAACTAAATACAAGCACAAACTGCCACTTAATATCAGGCTACAAAAATTACAGCTGCTGCAGTCCCAGGAGGAAGCCAGACACAGCCACCCCACGGTGACAGGAACACCCCCTTCCTCCAGCCCTGATCCTGAGGATTTACATTCACTTTGACACACAACCCAAACCTGGCAAAGCCTCTTGCCTCCAAAAGGAGCAGCTCAAGGTCTGATTTAAGGACACACAGCCACATCTAAGCCTCTCACTCAACCACAGAGCCCAACCTGGCTTCCTCCACTGCACCTCAACTAGGAAAGGCCCACGGTCACATGCAGGGTCACAAAATGACCAAGTTCAGCTGATAAAAAGAGTTCTGGAAATCCAGCAACTAGTACAGGCTGCCAGGAGAACATCATGAAATAGAGACAGGTCAAAATAATTTCTAAGCACCTCCTAGCAAAAGCCAGAGATATACACACATATAAACCAAGATCTGGCTTTCAGACAGCTTTTGTCAGAAAAACAAGGCTTCCAGCCAGCATTAAGGGAGATGTTTTCAGAGCAGACACCATCATGGGACCCCTAAACCCAGGCTGTGCATCAACACACATGGGGGCTGATCCCACACAGATGGTGCCTCCTCTCCTCCCCTGCAGGCTTACAGCCAACACCTGCAGCTCAGAGCAGCTTCCAAGGACTCCCTCACACCACCTTGTTAAGTTCAAGGTTTTGGTGTTTTTCTCATCCTCTCTCCCTGTTTCCTGTCCCAGTAACCAAGGCCAGGCACCAGCAGCATCAGCTCTTATCCCGTGCATCCAGCCACAAACCTCCTCCAGCTTCCAGAAAGGGCCAGGCTGAGGCACCCTTTGGCTCAACACCACCCCCATGGCCTTAATCCCAACACCCAAACATCAAGATCTGCTCCAACCTCCCCACCTCTGTTCCCCCAACAGAGCCAAACACCCCAGAAAGCCTCTTCTTTTGGGGAAGCTTTCTCCACCCCATCCCAGCAGAAGGGCACCACAGCCCACCCACTGATCCCAGCCAAGCCCCAAACAGGCCAGGAACCTCACAATGGGGTAGAAGAGACTAAACAACCACCCAGCACCCCCAAAGGAGAAAAAAACACTTACTGCAACTCTGCCTCATACCCCACTACCCTCAACTGCCTCTTTTATCCCCACCATGGGACCACACACCCCCAGTTCCCCTCCACAATTGGCTCTTCCCAGGACAGCCCCCCCATTATCTACACCTGCTGCCTCACCTGGATGCACCTGGAGGTGGATGAATGGTGGTGCCTGTTTTATTGTCTGGCCACCACTCAACCCCCAGATCTCCTCCCTACATTGATGCTTTGCCAGCTTTGGCCTTGTTTTTGGCCAACACACTTTGTGTGATGCCAGCCTGTGCCTGTACAGTGTCCTGGGCTGTGGGGGACAGTCTGGGCTCTGCCACCCCATTGCCTGGCAGTCTGGGGTGCCCCCTTGTTTTGTCTGGGTAGCTTGTGGGTGGTGCTGCAGGCCAGGAGAGCACCTCCTCCAGTCACAGGGGCCCAGGACCAGGGAGCCAGGCAGAATCAGCAGCACAGAGGTTCCAAGTGAGCCAAGACAGGATTAAGCAATTTGGAGCATCATCAGGCCCTGAGCTGCTGGCTGGCACAGAAGGGAGGTGGCAAGGAGAGAAACCCAGCAGGAACCCATTATCTCCATGGGTCCTTTTGGCCAGGAGCTGCTGGGCAGCTCACAAAGTGCTGCGTTCTGTGCCCATGACAGTCTCCATCAGTCAGGAGATATTTCCATTTATGGAGCCCTTGCCCCAGTCCTGCTCTTGCTGCTCTGGCCAACAGGGACAGCAGCTCCCTGACCCCCAGATAACCACAGCAGCAGGGCTTGGCTGCAGCACTGTGGCCACTTCTGGGGACTCTGAGGTGCTGAAGATTTCCTGGCTTGGCACCCCCTCCACACCACCACCCTCTTTAGCAAAGCCTCATAAAGCCTCTTGGTGTGTGCAGGGGTGCCAGCCTGCTCCAGCTGATGGGGAAGGGAGGAGCAAGTGTTTCCCAAATGGGTAGGGAAAACAGCCATTAAAATATTTAGTTAAAACCTGACTTTAAACCACTTGACATCTTTTTCTACGAGGGAGATGGGGAACAAAGACAGTCAGAGCTGCAGGAAGGTGATGCTGAGATGCAGATGGGAACTGCACCCTCCACACCCCTGGAGGGGGTGTGCACTTTCCAGCTGTGCACACAGAACCATTCCAATCCAAATTATAGGAATTCAGGGAACAACTAGTATTGCCCAGCACAGAAATATCTATGGAGACACACTGTGCAGTACCCTGGCTGCTCAAAGTCTGGATTCAAGTCCTGGTGCCACACCAATTCTGCATTTCAAAGCAAATAAAATGAGTTGTACACAGCCTTATGTGGAAGGTGATAGGAAAGGTTTGAGGAAAGACCTTCAGATAAATCTGTTGTTTGTAGGCATTAAAAAGCCAGTTGTGCTAATCCTGGCTGCTGTGATTTTAAGCTTCAAGTGCCACTGGTTGCATTATCTTGTTTCTTGGCTGCTTGAGACAGGAAAATTACATTTCAATTGCTTTTTAATTCAACTTAATCTGGTGCAAAAGTTAGCATGCACCCTCTAATTCTGTTTTCTGAGCGGTTTGTTTCCACTAATTCCTAATCAGCCAACACTAAATCAAAACAGGCCTGGCTCAAGCTGAAATAGATGAGTCCTCGCAACCTTGCCAAGCAATTTAATTAAATTGGCTGAAAATCACACCCCAAGGTAAGTGGGGGCAGCCTCCTGCACAGGCCAGCCCCCAGCTTTTGGTCCCCTGCCTGGAGAGCTCTTGCCCAAGGTGCTGCAGGATGTGAATGTGAAACAAGGCTGGGAGAAGTTTGTGGTTGTCCCAGGCTGCTCTTTTTCTCCCTGCTCCTTCCATTCCCTCTCCACCTGCCAAGCACAATCAGCCCCATCCTCTTCAGTTCCCTGTCACTTTCAGTGCACAGAGGGAGAGGATGGGGAGAGAAAAACACGTGTAATGGATGAACATCCCTCTCCTTGTCCTTCACTCTGGTCCCTGATGTCATGAGAGGTGGCACTGCCACACAATCGACCCCAGGAGCAGGCTGAGGACGAGGGGGGTGGATTTGAACCTGTGCTGAGGACACTGAGAGATCAATATTTTCCAAATGGGGAAGGGAACAACCACTGGAGGAAAGAAAAGTTTTGGGTTTCAGCATAATAAGAAGGTATCACAGCTAATGGACAGGAAAGGAGATAAACCCCTAAATCTACATGACAGTGTCCCCTGAGCTCAGCCTTGTGTGTTCAAGCTGAAAATCCACATTGTGACAGGTATGAGAAGCTGTGGTTCCAGTGCAGGGATTTTTTGGAGGCTGTTCTCCCCCACCCTGCCACCCTTCACCCCACACTGCACCTCAGTGAGGCTCTGACTGGGGTAGACTTGAAAACACACATTTTAAGCCCTGAGAGAAAAGCCCCGATTTCCTTTCCTGTGTTTTTCATGTTTCTTGCGTGGATTTACCTTCACTGCATGTGGAGAAAGGTACTGGTCAGGGTACTGTCAGCATGTGACATCTCTGTGGCAGAGAGAGATGAGGCAGGAACACCCTGGGGTTAACCCTGGGGTGCTGCACAGGCACAGCAGCTGGTTGGAGTAACCCCTTTGTGAGAGGAGAGCCTCAGCTGGATGGAGGGAAGCAGAGGGAGGGGTCCCTGCCAGCCCCTGAATGCTGCTCTCACACAATGTCCTCTCTGCCAGCAACAGTGTAGTTCCATCACATGAATATCAACAAATTAATTTTACTTATTAGTTACACTAACACCAAGGAAATATCTATGTGGGTTCCTGAAACCTGTTCTCCTTCTGGAATGATGTAACTGCTGGTGGTGTATAAAATCATGATGTATCCTGATTGGAAGGGACCCACAAGGGTCAGAGTCCAGCTCCTGGCCCTGCCCAGGACACCCCAACAATCCCACCCTGTGCCTGGGAGCGTTGTCCAAATGCTCCAGGAGCTCTGTGAGCCTTGGGGTTGTGCCCATCCCCTGGGGAGCCTGTTCAGTGCCTCAGCACCCTCTGGGAGAAGAAACTTTCCCTGATGTCCAGCCTAAATCTCCCTGACACAGCTTCATGCCTTCATGGATGTGCAGCATTCCTGAGTGTGGCAGGGATGGAGCCTGGAAATTCCTCCACGTTCAGTTGGGATCCATCCTCCTGGCACACAATTTGTGAGGGACGCAGTGCTAACTCCACAGGCTGCACTGGTCCCTCCTGGGCTGGCATAGGTTGGGCAGCTTGTGACCTCCCCAGCAGCACCACCAGCTTCTTGTCAGAGCTATTGTTGGTGCAGCCACCTCGGGCGGGAGCCGGGATCGGAGCCACTTTGTGCCAGGCACGGAACAGGCACGGAACAATGACAGCCCCCATCTGCTGCAGTCTGTCTAATCAGGACATGCAGAAGGTGGGAGAAGGGATTTATTGTTATCTCTGCCTTACTGCTGAGCCAGAGGCAAAGCTGAACACTGCAGCTGGATTTTCTGAGGCTCAAGGTTCAGTTTGTGGTTTCCTTTAATTTAGCGGCGCAGCCTCAAAAATGTGGCCCTGCTTTTCTGCCCCTGTTCCTCTGCAGCCAGGGAGCTATGGGCATGTGTCAGTTCAGAGAATCACGAAATTGTTTGGGTTGGAAAGACCCAAAAGTTCATCTCATTCCAACTCTCTGCAGGGATACCTTCCACTATCCCAGATTGCTCCAAGCCCCATCCAACCTGGCCTTGGAAACTTCCAGGGATTCAGGGGCAGCCACAGCCTCTCTGGGTACCTCTGCCAGGACCTCAGAACCCTCACAGGGAAAAATTCCTTCCCAATATCCTATCCAACTCTGCCCTCTGGCACTGGAAAGCCATTCCCTGTGTCCTGTCTGTCCATCCTCTGTCCAAAGTCCCTCTCCAGCTCTCTTGGAGCCCCTTTAGGCACTGGAAGGGTCTCTAAGGTCCCCCCAGAGTCTTATCTTCTCCAGGCTGAACAGCTCTGTCAGCCCATCTCTATGGGAGAGAAAAGAAGGAGGGAAAAGAGGAGGAGGAAGTATGATTTTCCATAGTTTCAGTTGAAACAGCTCCTACTGTGGCTGTGGGATTCTGTGGTGCTTTTCAAGGCAAAGTGTTCTTCAGGTCCTCTTCCCAGCCAAGAAATGGGATCACTCTGAAATGTAGGCACTGTAAACCAAAAAGGAAATTAATCATATTGACATTGTACAGAAGAGATTTATATTTATTGATAAAGAGGCCTGGGAGAGTTGGGAATTCCCTGTGAATCAAGGGAAAGAGGATTTGTGTGCAGGAAGACAGCTTGTGGATAACACCAACTGATTGTGCCATCAGCTGGGCTGGGAGCTCCTGCTGAGCTATCAGAGCTTTGGGAAGGAGAACAGCAGCAGGGCTGTGTGAGTTGTGGGAGCTCATTCCCACTTTCCAAGGGCAACTGTTTGTGTCCATTTGGCTCCACTGTAAGTGGATGCCCCAGAAAACCAGGACAGCCCTGGAGCGCCTGTAACTCCACACCAGGCTGAACGTGAAGGAACTAATTTTAACTTCTGAGCATCCTCCTTTCTGCCAGCCACAGAGGGATTAGTGTAACAGTTTTTGAAATTATTTAAAAATAACATCAGACTGAATCAGAGTTATTTATTAAATCCATTATCCTCTGTCAGTTATGGGACACTGATTCAGCTGCAGAAACTATAATCACCTATGGCCAAAATCTTACCTTTTTTTTTTCCTTAGCAGGGCCCAGCAATAATTATTCCTTTAGTTCCTGACTTTGTAACTCAAGGAGCTGAAACAGAGAAATCTATAGTGTTTGCTTCTGCTGCTGAAGTACAACCCCAAAGTGGAGCATCCAAGCTGAGCTCCTCGTTATTCCAAAGCTTGCCACAACAGCACAAAGGCTGAGGCTCTATAACAAGCAGTCATAAATGGTTTTGCACTCCCTTGTTCCTCACCTTGTCCTCCTCCATTTATACCCTCCTGCTTTTTAATTGGGAATGTCACTATGGACACCTGGGCTGCGGTGTTTAGCCTAGGATCCCTGGCAGCACTGAGGAAGAGACAAGAGCCTTTTTATGTGTGGTCTGTATTGGACAGGTGGAATGCAGATAAGATACGTGCAGGAAATAGGAAATTCTTCCCCATGAGGGTGGGGAGGCCCTGGCACAGGGTGCCCAGAGAAGCTGTGGCTGCCCCACCCCTAGAAGTGTCCAAGGCCAGGTTGGACAGGACTTAGAGCACCCTGGGATAGGAGAAGGTGTCCCTGCCATGGCAGGGGTGGAACAAGATGAGCTTTAAGGTCCTTCAAACCCAAACCATTCAGGGAGTCTACATGGGCTGACCTGCCTTTAACTGAAGGCCATTTTCCATCCTGAAACAGAATTATGCTCCACATCCCTTCAGGCAATAGGGCTGGACTCTCAGTCTCACTTTAACATGATGAAGGAATCTGTGTCAGGGCAAGAAACTGAGCCCACACCAAAGGCAAACATCCTGCTCAGCAGACAACTCCCTCCACAGCCGTGGTCTGCAGGCCTTGCTGTGCACTGCTATCGGACACGTCACTCCACAATCTCTCCCCTGTTCTCTGAGGGAACCTTCCAACCCCCTTCCCAGATAATGTAATCATAGGGGGACATGGCTGGGGGAAGCAGCTGCAGCCCAGCCCAGGCTGTCCCAGCAGGTTTTGAGTGTGGTGATGTGCTGGAGCAGAGCGTGGCCAGTGAGACACAGGACAGGGCTGTGGACATGGCTACAACACGTCATTAAACTCAGCAAGAGGCACCCTTGGGAGCAGAAAGCAGCTTGGCTGAGTCCTGGCCTTTGCTGATGTGTCTGAGCTGAGTGGGCCAGCAGCTGTTTCAGGTTTACCATTCTGCCCTGGATCACTGTGTGGAGAGATCCAATAGCTGCCTTTGCAGCTCTGTGGTTAAAACATTTATTTTTTCGAGTTACACATGAGCAAACAGGTCAGAACCCGTTACTTATTTGATGCATTTCACATCCTTCTCTAAGATGTTGTGTTGAGAACTGTTTACAATCTCCATTCACAGATTCAAGGTTTGAAATAATTACCTAAAAAAGCCCAGAAAATATGACTTGCTCCAGAGAGATTCCTGAGGAGTTAATCACAGTTCTCAGCATTCAGGACTCTGGCTGGCCATGGTTTCTGTGGTATTATTCTGCTCCTGACGGGACATGCTGAGTTCCTAGAATCAGATTTTCAGGGTGAATAGTCAGTTACAAATTCAAGAGGTGGGTGTAACATGAACTCTCTAATTTTCACCTCAAAGCAGTTGTTTATCTGAATCTTCCTGCTTGGAAACTCAATCCCAAGCGTGTTCACCCACAACACCCACAATGGCAATCCTGGCAGAGTAACCACATCCCAAACGCTCCAGCTGAGGCAAATATAGCAGAGAAATACTTAGGGCTGATACAGGAGCTGTTGTCTTTCATGTCTTTCAGGGCAGCTCATACCCACTGAGTGACTGAAACATGCAGGATGCTAGCACAACAGCTTTATCCTCCCTGCTTCCAGCAAACACACAGGGTTTATTCATCATAAACATGGGACACAGAAATGAATTTAAAACAAAACTTCAGTTCCATCACCAGCGTGGCTGCTCCTGCCAAGGGTTCAGCCTGAGGTTTGCCTGCCAAAGATCAGGTCTGATGAAATCTGCTATTTCACCTTGGCAAGAAAATAAAGCCAAGGATGTGACTTTGCACAGAAGTTTATTTAGATGATCTTTCTATTTCAGCCTCTTGTCCCCTACCCCCCAGCAGCTCAGTTTATAGAACACCCTACAAGACAAGACAAGAAGAAATGGCCACAAAACAAAGCATTATTTGAGGTCTCCTGAGGGGTTAAAGCTTCCCAATCAGGCTCCCATCATTGCCACCCCCCTGGACTTACAGATAAGGAATGTGTTGTTCAGGCCCTTTGGACAGCTCTGAAAGAGCCTGGCCAGCCCTTGCAAACACACACCTTCCAGGACCTTGGGTTTAACCTGCTGTGTGTGGTGGCTGGGAAGAGGTGGGCCATGTGGCAGCAATAGGAGGCAGAGACAGAAAAGGATGGTGCCTGAAGGTGTGTGTGGAGCCCATCTGGATTTATAGTCACTGTTTTGTATCAGGTAGACTTGAATTCACAGGTATTTTAATCAGAAGTTTATTAAATTCCACATGATCTTGAGGAAATGAAATCTCAGAGTTTTAACTCGCCCCCAGCTGTTGGCATGGCCTTACCCCTTCCTTGACTTTTGGGTCTACATTTACACCTAAGCTTTTAAAAAGGTCACTCCTTCTGGCTTCAGACTGAAAGATCAGAACAAAATAGACTTTTTGTAGGTAGATTGTCTGCCAAAAAATGGGCTGACACTGGATGCACAACTCTGAAAGTGTAAGTTGTCTTCATGTCCTGCCTCAGTTTCCCCAGCTGTGAAAGGATGAGGTATAAAGAATTTAAAGTTCCTGAAGAGTCTGAGCCCTGCACCCAAGAAACTCTGTTTGATGCAAGTATGAGCTGTTTTGGGCTGTGTAGGCATTTGGTTTAACATTTCATTGATCTGTTCCTGGGACCACCTTAGTCCCTGTGTTTCAGGGAGGTGATGGATTAAGTGCAGACCAGAGCCAGGGCTCAAATATACATTGCAAATCCAGGCATCTCAACCCAGCCAGCCTACAGACTTAGCTGTGTAGATTGAGAGGGGAAATGACTGCTGAGCTGTTACATTCCTTATCTCTGACTGATCAAAGCGGAAATGGACAGAGGAAATTTCTCCTTCTTGCTTTGCCGTGCAATTCACCCCAGAGCAACAGATTGCAGCTGAGGGTGTCACACCAGGATCTTTCAGAGCTGGGAAACTGGTTTCCAAGGGCACAGCCCTGCTGCCTCGGAGTCCTTGCACATGTATATTTTTAGCCCATCAAGGTTTTCAGGAGGATGGTGGGAAATGAGATCACCAGGGCAGCCAGGGCTATTGCTGCCTCCCACCAGTGCCAAGTTGTCCCGACTGCAGCCCAAGCAGTGGCCTCTAAACCAGACCCTGGTGGCCAGAATTGCCCTCCCCAGCCCAGGGGCTTCTCCCTCTGTGCCCATGCTGACTCCTGAGCCGGCTGAGTCGCCAGGCTGGCGCCCAGCATTGCTTGGGGCTGCAGAGGTGGGATGGAGAGCAGCCCTCGGCCTGGGCAGCGTGTCCCTGCTGCCAAGGAAAGCCACAGCACAGCCCCTGCTCCCTTTAATCATAGCAATGATGAAATCAGCCTCGCCTCTGCAGGGAGCAGCAGCTGAGCAGGTAGGGCTGGTCCCCAGGGGCACATCTTTGGCTGCTGGACACCAACACGGTGCTCACCATCAGCTGTTGCCTGGGCAGCTTTAAAGATGTGTGGGTGGGGGAAGGAAAACTGCCTGGAGTGTGGGACACAGTCTGTTCCCAGCACGGAACAGCTCCCAAAAAATGCAAAGCCTTGGGACATGAGTCACGCCCTTGAACTCCCCTGCTCCCTCCTCTGGAATGGCTTTGACACAACTCAGGTTGTGACAAGAGTGACACCACCACAGGCCATGGGAAATGGATGTGCTGAGGACTCTCCTGGTAGTTTTGGGTGGCTGAGGGCAGAAGCTGATCAACCAGGTTCTCCCTTTTGGTTTCCTCTGAACCCCCATCCAAAAACTGCCCTCACCAGAATTGGTCTAACAGTTTTCAGGAAAAAAAAGCTCCCTGTTCTCAGCCATAGGCAGGCTCCCAGTGGCCTGGGCCTAGTGAGGAAGGTCTAAGAGAAAGTGGGAATATTCTCCCTATTTTTTCCCAGTCAATCTCTTGTTTTCTGACTCCTCTTAGGAGCTACCCACCTGTATTTGGGATCTTCTTTCTGCTGCAGGTTCCCATTGAACTGGAAGGTATCACTGGTGTGAAGAGGACACCACCACAGGAAATTCCATGTTTTCTTCAATCTGCTTCTCAAGAATGTGGGAAACACTGCTGTCCTTTTCTTTTCCTTCTAGTTTTAACTTCTACCCAAAAGAGAAGCCAAAATGACTGATGGTTATAAAGAAGAGGGTGTGGATGACACTGACCCCATGCAGCTCCTGACTCTGCCTGAAAAAGAGAAACCTGAGGCCATGAACAAGCCCTGGAATAGATTTTTCCTTCTGGGTGAAGAGAAAAGGTTTCCTTGTTAAAAGCAAATGGCAAAACACCGGAATATTTCAGTTCTCTGCCTTCCTTTGCCCTCTCTACAAATTAATTCCCTGCACTTTTTTTTTTGCCCATTCATAAAACAGGGGGGAATCTTGATCTGTGGCTGCAATGAATCCACATTTACACAGAGCTGTGGGGGCTCCCAGGTGGTCTGGAAACAGGAATAAATAGCTGTGGGAGGAATAATCACAGTGTTTGCAGAGAGATTCCTGAGAGAACAGTGCTATAGAGCAGCCTTGGGGAGCCTCAGCCAGGTGGGATTTCCCAGCACTTTATTTCCTGCCACCTGCACAACCAAAGCATAGTAAAAAGTGTTTTATCTGGGTAAAATATTGTGAAGAGCAGGTTATTCAAATAAGAAAGGAGACATAAGCATCAATAATCAGGGAGGAAGACCCAGTCTTTTTTGTCATGATAGCAATGAGGAAAGTTGTTTGGCAACAACTAGAGAGAATTCCACCATACTGATGGCACCTCTCCTCTCCTCTCCTCTCCTCTCCTCTCCTCTCCTCTCCTCTCCTCTCCTCTCCTCTCCTCTCCTCTCCTCTCCTCTCCTCTCCTCTCCTCTCCTCTCCTCTCCTCTCCTCTCCTCTCCTCTCCTCTCCTCTCCTCTCCTCTCCTCTCCTCTCCTCCTCTCCTCTCCTCTCCTCTCCTCTCCTCTCCTCTCCTCTCCTCTCCCTCTCCCTCTCCCTCTCCCTCTCCCTCTCCCTCTCCCTCTCCCTCTCCCTCTCCCTCTCCCTCTCCCTCTCCCTCTCCCTCTCCCTCTCCCTCTCCCTCTCCCTCTCCCTCTCCCTCTCCCTCTCCCTCTCCCTCTTTGTTCTTCTTTTTCATGTCCCCTCAGACTCTGCTGTGGGGGGTCAGTAAAACAATTCTGAATTTAAAGACACAAATAGCAGCGACATTTGGCCATGCAGCAGAAATCCTGTTATTCAAGCCTTGTGGGATTCCTTCGGTGGTTTCCTATTCCTCCTTCCAGCTTCCTCACCGCCAGACCTCTGGATTGTCAAGTCCCAGCTTGTCCCTGCACTGGTTTCCTCCTCCACAACTTCTCCCCCCAGGCTCTCCCTATCCCACACACATTCCTAGCCTGTCTTATGCTGCCCTCTATCCTTGGAATAACCTTCCTCCTACTCCAAGCAACAAACCTCATTTCTCTTTCCCATCTTTCTGCCTGCAGATCCCAGCGTTGCCCGACCATTCCCTGCGGGTGTCAATCCTGGAAAACCCCAAACCCTCTTTGCTAGAACACAGAAGTACTAAACCCCACAGTGCACTTTGCATTTGGTGTTCCTTCTTGGAGCTGGGATTAGCCAGACTGCCCCAAATCCACACGGCTGGACCCCCGTGGAGAGCCTCTGGCAGGGCTGAACCTGAATGGAACTGCTGCTCACAGCGGGAATTCAGCTTTTCGTGGGAGCTGGCTGACAGAAAATCCATTCCCCGGGTTGGTTTGGATGCTGAGGGGTCATTGTGCTCAAAGCCCAAGGCTTCTGCATTGAGCATCCTGCTGGCTTTTGCAGGAATCCCTGCAAGGTCAAGTCATCCAGATGAATCCTCTTCTGGAGACCCTTAATAATGCTAAAAATAGGAGGAAGAACAATTCCTTCCATTTGTAAATAGCAGTCCTTTACTTGTAGGTCAATGTAGATCATACAAAGATCTTCCCTCAGAAAAAAAATATAACCAAAACTACCTTAAAATGCTTCCTCAAGCAGTAAAGTTAATTTATATTTGCTAACACTTCCCACTGAGCATTATTGGTTCCTATTTTCTTGAACTGAGTTCGTAATTTTGGTTTTGCCTTCCTATTTTTATATGTCAAATAAAAAAATAGTTTTGAACAACCCCTCAAATCAATGCCCTTTCAGCTGATCAGTGCTGCAAAGATTCAAAATGCAGATTATTTTTAATTTTACGGATTTTTTCAGATTATTTTGCAGATTTTCTGCAATTTAATTTTGGAATGCTCAATGAACATGTAAAACATTGGGAATTTCAACTGAAGCCTCACTCCTGTTTCTGTGTGCTACATACTTCTGCCATATGCTGCAGAGAAAGGAGGATTTCTTTAAGCTTTAATACAGAATCTAAGAAGAAAGACGGTTTTTTATAGATCTGATCTTTGAAAAGATTAAATTTCCTCTCACTGACTTTCAAATTTGCCCCTACAGGCAATGCTCTGTCCCTGATGAACACTCAGAACCTCTCAGCTACTTTCTGTTTTCCTACAGATATTGCAATCTTGATTAACAGACTTATCTTTTATTTTCTCATCCAAGGCAAATTTATCTGAATTGACTGTGGTGGCACAGGGAGGCTGGCTGGGGCTAACACTGGGAGTTGTAAGTAAGCAGATAATTCTCCATATTAACTTCGCTTTGGATTTTTTCTTATGTTGAATGGACCATGTTTTGATTAAATCAGACACGAGCAAATCTGAAATGAATTCTGTGAATTGGAGGGATCTGCACTGCTGTAAATGAAACCAAACCCTGTCTCTTCTTCTACAGTGAAGTTACATGTTTTAGATGATGACAATTTATTTCCTCTTTCTTTACTTGCCTGTGAGACTCTGCACACAAAAAGGACACGATGCCTCCCCCAAAGCTGTACATTTTTCACTCCATGATTATATTGCAACCATTACTAACACTCATCAGCACAACACTGTAATTGCCTTGCAACCAAGACCCTAAAAATAGCTCTGCAGGGAAGGTGCATTGTTCTGTGCTTGCACACATGCATCCACCACTAAATTGAGAACCACAAATCTCAGCTCTCAAGGTGAAAAGACCCCATCACGTTTCCTGACTAAAGCCCTTCAGCACACAGAAAAAGGAGAGAGGAAACATATGGACCAGCCATTCTTTAATGTGGGATTGTCTGCATCCCTCTGATTTTCAACTCATCCCAGATTTGCATCACACCCAGCAACCATATGTTGGATTTGCCTTTGTGGACAGGTGAAGGCCAAGGCAAGCTGAGGTTGTTTCCTGGCACCTTTCAGCCTCCTCCTGCCTGGCATTGCCACACCTTTGCTGGGCAGGTCCAAGGTCCTCCTGCACCTTGGTTGGAGCTCTGTGGGCAGAAGGGATTGTGAGTCCTCCCCAGAGTCACTAGGACTAACCAAAATTGGCAATAAAGGCAATTTGGGTCAATCTAAACTAGCCTGAAGAACTGCAGCTCAAAGCAGACTTACATGGAGAGAAGACTCCAGCTGAGAGGGAAGGATGAAAATGCCAAGGCAGGACCTCCTGGTGATTTGGTAAACCTTTGGGGATTTTGGAGTGAATTGGTGCAGTGAAGGTTAGAGACCAAAAGCCAAACTGTGTTAGAGCCTGGCAGAAAGCACAGACAGAATGATTTTAGGGTGAAAACCACTTTCTCCAGAACTCTTCACTGAAACAAAGGGCAGTGTAAAGACTCAATGAACAGGACAACCTCACAAACCATTCACTGGCAATTCAGGGGATGCTCAGAAGCAGGATGAGTTATTCTGGAAAGCTGCTCCTGAACCCAATAATGACATAACTGGAAAAACAATAGCATTTTCTGCCTCTCTTTCACTTGCTGCTAAAATATCTGTACTAAATCTTGTGTTACTGGGAACATTGTAAAGATTAAAGGTGTGTTCTGGGAGCATCACTGAAGGATACTGTGGTTTTTGCTGCATTCACAGGACTTACAAAGGATATTGGTGAAATACTGCTTTCACTGGTATCCAAAGCAAAATTGTCACTGACAATAGGGTTGTGACTTTTAATCTCTGGCTGCTGGATACATCTGGATATGTTTCCCTTCTGTGCTCCATGTCTGGAGATGGCATATGTCATTTCTCAGGAATGAGCCAAGAGATATTATAATTTCTTCCTTGAACTTACTGGTACAGCACTTTGTATGTATTATTCACTGCCTTTAATGCTCACATCCCTGCTCAATCCTCTGTTTCTAGGATAAAAAACCTACTCACCAGAACTGTGCTTGGTCAGAGATTGAAATAGGTTCTCTGCAGTGGGGGGTTGTTACTAATTATCCAGGAAGAAGAGGATTGCATGTGACTTTTCCTTAGGCAGGCCAGAGTGAGAAAGGAAAGCTGTCTTCCCTTATCTTGATCAATGCATGGCGAGGTCCCCCTTGATCTGGCAGGGCTGCCATGAAGGTAAAAATGATAATTTTCAAACTGAAGTGTTGAGCTGCTTCACGCTAATTGCTTGAATCTCCTCAGGACAGGGAACACAGCAAGGACAAGCTTTTCAATATTTTTGAAAAGGTTTGGGTGTTCAATCCCACTTACTGCAACGTGGCTGCTATGTCAAAATCTCCTGGGCAGCCTGAGCAACTAATCCAACTAAGGTGGGTTTTTTTTGGTTTTTTGGTTTTGGTTTTTTTTTTTTTTTTTTTTTTTTTTTTTTTTTTGTGAAACACTCAAAACATGCTCAGGAATTGAAACCTAGAAGACCATTCAGTCTCCAGTCCAAAACCTGCTTGTTATGCCTTGTTTGGACTGATGGCAATTTTGTAATTACCTCTTGGTCTGCCTTGTGCTGCAGAAACTTCTGTTTGTGCTCAATCCTAATTTTTAGTGTTACATCAAGGTGTGATTACAGCAAAAAAAACACAGATGGTGGGGAAGAGCCACTTCTCACTGGAAGCCTAGAGAAACATTGGTGAAAGTGGAAATACAGCAAACAGGATGCAGCCCCCCTGGCCTGAGCTTCCTGTAGGGATAAAATTCAGCTTTTTCAACCTGAGGGTAAATAAGCAACTGAGGAGCAGCGGGAACAGCCTGAAGATTTGTTAAATTGTCTGTGAG